CTTGCTTTATAGTTTGTTAATGTTGTCTTCTGACGAACACAAGTTCTTGATTTCAATGAAACTCAGTTTCATCAATTTTTTAAAAATGGTTGGTGCTTTTTGTTTCTTGTTAAAATATCTTTCCCTATGATATTTTCCTAAAATTTTCTTTCAAATTTTTATTGTTTGACTTTTCACATTCTGGTATATAGTTTATTTATTTTTGTGTATGATATGAGAAAGAGGTTAAGGATCTTTTTTTCCCCCCTAAGTAAGATAATTTGTAAAATGATCATTCAGAAATCTGTTCTTTAGTCTATTTGTCTGTTTAGTCTGGTAATGTTAAGTTCTCCAGATGTTTTCTTTTATAGTATGTCCGTGTCTAGTCTAGGGTCTTTGTATTTCCTTATTAACTTGTCATTCAGTTATCCCACTCCCTCAGGAAAGACAAACCAACCAACCTTCTGGGATTTTGATTGTGTTTGTAGTGAATTTATACATTGATGTGGGGGAAAATTGACTTTTAGTCAAATAATCCTTCCAGTCTATTAGCATAATTTATCTTGTCATCTACTGAGATCTTTTAAAATTTCTCTCAGCAATGTTCTATAGTTTTTTTTTTTTTTTTTAGTTTTTTTTTTAACCCCTGTACTAGAGATTGAATACAGGGGTGCTTTACCACTGAGCTACATCCCCAGCCCTTTTTCCTTTTTATTTTGAGACAGAGTCTTGCTAGGTTGCCCAGACTGGCCTTGAATTTGTAATCCTCCGGGCTCAGCTTCCTGAGTAGCTGGGATTATGAGCATGTGCAGTCGTACCTGGTAGCATTTAATAGTTTGGATATTTTATGCCTTATTATCATTCAGTTTAATTTTTATTGTTATTTCTTATTTGATCTGTGGTTGTTTAGAAGTGTTTTACTTGCAAAAAAGGAAAATTTAAGTGTCTTATTTGATTTTTCATTTTAGGACTTTTTCTAATTGTATTTTTCTTATTGATTTCTAGTTTAATTTTATTGTGGTCAGAGCATATATGCTGTATGGTTTTAATCCTCTGAACTTGTTGAAGTTTGGTTTATGTAAAATAACTAAATAATATAAAGCAAAGATTGTCATATTGGATAAAAAACAAAACCCAACAATATACTCTTCAAGAGAAACACTTTAAGGACACAAAAAGGTTAAAAGTAAAGGATGAAAAAAGATAGATGAGAGAGTAGGCCTGGGTCTATCCCACCACTGTCAGACACCTGCCTGAGCTCAGGCTCCAGCATAGGACCACCTCTTCTGACCAGCAGACCCCCGCTGGAGCTCAGGCCTGGCCTAGATCTGCCCATACAGACCTGCGTGGGACCCAGGCTCAGAGTAGGCCTGGGTCCATCCCACCACCGGCAGACACCCACTAGAGCTCAGGCCCGGCACAGATCAGCCTACACCAACTTGTGGGACCCAGCCCAAGGGACCCCGCCACCGCCCCTTCCCCAACTGGTAGCCCAAGCCTAACCCAATTCCATCTTGGGACACTGCAAACATCACCGTAGCCTTCCCTACGCAGTAGCCCCTACCTTTTGACAACAGACAGGGCCTAGAAGCAGCTATAACTCATAGCAGGCATCCCAAAGGCAGTGTAAGGCCCCCCTTTCATCCCATCTCTGTAAGATGTTGCATCCATCTTGGGGCACCTCCACTACCTTGAGTTACCTCGGCTATTACTGCCACCACCTTGAGTCAACAGTAGCATACATTGAGGGACACCAGCAGGGTCTGGAAGCCCAACATCAAGGTGAGGTACAGACAATTTGCATGGATACTACAAGAATATAGGGTAGAAACTGTAATATCTCAGATTCACACTGCAAGAAAGGAAGACACATAGACAACATGAAAAAACAAAGGAGGAAAATGCCCCAAACAAACCAGGATACTACAATAATAGAATCCATAGACATTGAAGTGGATGAAATGTCAGGAAAGGAGTTCAGAAGGTTCATAATTAAAATTATCTGTGAATTAAAGAATGACTTAAATGAGCAAATGCAGGCAAAAATTGACACTCCAATAAAGAGATAAGAGATCAAATACAGGTAGCAAAAGATTACTTCAAGAAAGAGATAAAGACTCTTAAAAAAAAACAGTCAGAAATCCTTGAAATGAAGGAAACAATAAACCAAATAAAAATTCAATAAAAAGCATAACCAACAGACTAGATCACTTGAAGAAAGAACGTCAGATAATGAAGACAAAGTATACAATCTGGAAAACAAAGTTGACCACACAGTGAAGATAGTAAGAAACCATGAACAGAACATCCAAGAATTATGGGAAAGCATCAAAAGACCAAATCTAAGAGTTATTGGGAGAGAGGAAGGCACAGAGTTTCAAACCAAAGGAATGCACAATCTCTTCAATGAGATAATATCAGAAAATATCCCAAGCATGAAGAATGAATTGGAAAACCCAAGAACAAGAAGCTTAGAGGACACCAAATGTACAAAATCACAACAGATATACACCAAGGCACATTATAATGTAAATGCCTAGCATACAGAATAAGGATAGAATCTTAACATATAGGGGGAGACCAATATGTATTTCAGCAGATTTTTCAACCCAGACCCTCAAAGCCAGGAGATCATGGAACAACATATACCAAACACTGAAAGGAAATGGATGCCAACCAAGAATCTTATATCCAGCAAAATTAAGCTTTAGATTTGATGATGAAATAAAAACCTTCCATGATAAACAAAAGATAAAAGAATTTACAACTAGAAAGCCTGCACTACAGAACATTCTTGGCAAAATATTCTATGAAGAGAAAATGAAAAACAATGATGAAAATCAGCAGAGGGAGGTATTACACTAAAGGAAAAACTAATTAGAGGAGAAACCAAGTCAAGTTATATACCAAAAATAAACAAAAATATCTGGGAATACAAATCGTGTCTCAATAATAACCCTGAATGTTACTAGCCTAAACTCACCAATCAAAAGACATAGACTAGCAGATTGGATCAAAAAAAAAAAAAAAAAAAAAGGGCCCAACAATCTGCTCCCTCCAAGAGACTCATCTCATAGGAAAAGACATCCACAGACTGAAGTTGAAGGGTTGAGAAAAATTATACCGCTCACATTGATGGCGGAAGCAAGCAGGGGTTTCCATCCTCATATCAAATAAAGTAGACTTCAAGCTAAAGTTAATCAAAAGGGATAAAGAAGGACACTACATACTGCTCAAGGGACCATACACCAACAAGACTTACCAATTATAAACATATATGCTCCAAACAATGGAGCATCTATATTCATCAAACAAACTCTTCTCAAGTTCTAGAGTCAAATAGACCACAACACAATAATTTTTAACACAACTCTTTCACCACTGGATAGATCTTCCAAACAAAAGTTGAACAAAG